TTTAAATCTCGTAAGATGGCATGCAGAAATTCTAAAATTAAAAATATGAAACCGTAATTTATGAAATAAAGAACAATTATGATCTAAAGGGTATCAAAATTTACAAAAAAAAAAAAAAAAAAAAAGAGCTTAATATTTATTTGTGTACTTTATTAAACATTTCTTTCAATGTAAGTTGTTTAAGTTGCTTCGTTTTATGTGATAATACTTTCTCTTTAATTCTGTAAACAGACATAATTTCTTGTTCAGTAACAAAGTTCCGCTGTTCAAGTCCTGTTAATTGCTGGTCTGAGAATACCGACTAACTTGTCAATCGAAATTTTTTCGTTTTCACTAACCTCTCTGTCACATTCTTCTTGTCTTTATCCATTTTTTGCAGCAATTCCACTTTTTGTTTGTCGGACATCGAAACATACTTTCGTTTTGTAGATCCTTTGGAAGTTCCAGCATCGGAAATTCTATTTGACATAATCAAAAGTTCAAGTTTACTTTTATAAAATTGCTCGTACAGTCTGCAAAAATAATAAGTGGGATCCAATTCGAAGATTGAGGAACAACGCAATCATTAACATTAACTGAAATAGATAATTAGATAATTTTAGCTTACACCATCCATTATACATTAAACGCGCAGGCGAAAACGTATTCTGCACTTGCGCACACGCATATGCGCAGTAGTAAAGGTCTTAAGTGCACGCGTAAAAATGCCTGTGCGCATGTGCCAATGCAGCGCATGCACAGAAAGTTTTTAGCTTTGAGGTCCGGATTATAGATCATTCCGGATTATGGGTGTCCGAATTAACGACTTTTGACTGTATTTACTGAAATCAGAGAGTGAACTGATTTGCCCTAATTGTAATGTTGTAATGTCAGCTCAAAAGATTTTGACTCAAACATTTTAAGAAATGTGACTTGTCTCTTGACCGTATGATTGGGAAAGAGGCAAATGGCAATTTGTTTCAGTATCTGAGACAGGTGTTTATTATTTAATTTGATTTGATTTTTCATGCTGTGTCTTGATGTTTCAATAATATATATTTTAACATATCTCATGTTTGTTGATTTTAGTCTTATTTTTTATTTGAGATTATTATCTGATGTTTATATAGTTGCATATTTTCAGCATCTTATCAGTTCTTTAAATTTTATGTCTTTCCTTTGATTTTAATCTCGTATGTCTGTTTGTCTATCATTTGTGTTTGAAAGTGTCTGTCATGTGTTCAATGCATATAAGCTTTAAAGTTTTGAACCCCACCAACACCACATACAAAAAGGAAACCTTATTAGAAAAAAGCTTTGCATTTTGCAATAGTCATTATGTCAAAAGCTCATTTTTTTTTAACTGACCACCTGTGAGTTACCCTTCAATTTTTCCTACTTCAATCTTGTTAGTTGTTCTTTAAGTGCAGACTACACTGGTGTGCAAAAATTAAGGACGAGAGGGGTTTTTCAATATAACTTTGTACAAAAGCTTTCCAAATCAACACGTTTAATACCGTAATATCCCCAATACATAAGGACATGAGTAATGTAAGCAACACTTACTAAAAGAGAAATCAGAGGGATAAAAAGAAGCTTTATTGAAAAAGTAGCATGGAGCGCAATGCGACTGAAGGCCGAAACATCCCTGTGATGGGTGTCCAGCAAGAAACATCCGGTCTTTAATAGGGGATATGATCTCCCCTGACTGCTAGGCAGGTTTCACAGCGTCTGCCCATGCTGAGAATGAGTTGTTGAGGCATTTGTCATTTATTGTGTCAATGAGTTGTTGAGGCATTGCTGCCCATTCGTCTTGCAGCGCTAATCGAAGCTCCGGAATCGTTACTGGTGGTAAGGTATGAGCTGCCAAGCGTCTGCCTAGAAAATCCCATACATACTCGATGGGATTGAGATCTGGAGATCGTGCCAGCCAATCCATACGTTTAATATCCTCACTCTCTAAGAGCTGTTCGGCAGCTACTGTGCGATGACACGGTGCATTGTCATCCATGAAAAGGAACTGCGGACCCATAGCGCCTCTAAAAAGATGCACATATGGAAGAAGAATCTCGTTACAATAACGGGTCCCATTGACTGAACCTGTGTCGAAGATGTGAAGGTCTGTACGACTCCCAAGCATGATGCCTCCCCAAACGAGAACACCGCCACCTCCATACCTGTCCCTTTCAATGATGTTCGAGGGATGATTGCGGCTTCCCCGCTCTCTCCAGATGAGTATGCGATGAGAATCGCTACTCAGACTGAATCTGCTCTCATCTGTAAAGAGTACTTGTCCCCATTCATTGTCTCTCCAATTCTGGTGTTCCCGGCACCACAGAGAACACTTTCTCCGATGGGCAGGCGTTAGAGGTACACACCGTACAGGGCGTCGTGCAAACAAACCACCACCGTGCAGTTTTCTGGCCATGGTAAAACGCAATATCGGTCGTCCAGTCGCCTGTGTCGTGTGTCTAGCGATTTCTCCCCCGCTGTCTGCCGCCTGTTTCTTCTTCTGGCCTGTAAGGCAATATACCGGTCATCTGCGGGTGTGGTTCCTCGTGGACGACCACTACTAAACCCCCGGATAGCTGTTCCTGTAGTTTGAAATTGTCTCCAAAGTCGTGAAACGATGCTGTGAGCAATTCCGAACTCTGCAGTCACACTTGTCACACTGCTGCGGCCTTCCTTCCTCCAACTTCCCAATGATTCGACCTCGGGTAAAAGCATCCAGATGTCGTCTAACAGATTGATTATTCGCCATTTTCTCGCTGAGGCAACAACTCGGTGTGGTTTTAACTGCTATACGGCATGCAATCTCTTTGCCAGAAATACTGAGCTTACACCGACAGCATGCTTTATACTACTCAGACACTCCTCCATTACGTCTACCTGCATATCTGCGCATGTGCTACCGTACATCACCTTACTTAATCTCCTGATTGGTCTTTCTGTCCGCTCTGCCTCTTCGTTCAGCTGATATGCTAATTTTTCGACTTCGTCCTTAATTATTGCACACCAGTGTATTTTGCTCTGTGTATTGTTATCACAAAAGGGGAAATTTTTCTCTGCTATTTTGGTAGGTTGTTCAAAATCTGAGTCATTATTGGTATTTGTGTAATCCATATCATTATTGGACATAAGAGTGAAAAATGATTGTTTTGAAAATTTTCTGGAATGTTCAGATTGTTACTCACTATATTGAGGGAATTTTTTAGAAATTTCCACTCATCTTTGGAAATTGCGGCTGAAGGAGCTCATTGTGACAGAAAAATTATTTGGTATTGTATATTATCTTGAACTGAAATATTTAGACTTTGAAGATTAATAATCTGATGGTGAATCCAATATTGCTTGTAAATATGTAAGTTTAGCATTAACTTCATTATTAATTGGTAATATAAGTAAAAAATTAATTTTATTTCCAACTTTCAGATGAACTTCTTTGAGTTGCTTGATAGAGAGTGTATCAAATAAATTTGGAGTTAAGTTCATAAGTTGAAATACCATAATGTTAGTCGAAATCTGGAAGGACAAAGAGAAATATATCCAATTGAAGTAATCAACACACCAGCATCATTCCAAAAACTTCAGGGAAAATCCTTTGCTTCCATGCAACTTTTGAAAAGGGAGAAATGTTAACTGTGTTTATATGAAAAAACAATGGGCAGAGCAAAGCAAACATGAATGTAGTGCTATGTGCTGAGAAAAATAGTAATGAAACATAAAAAATTAAGGTATCAGAATTTTAAAAGTATTAAAAAGGCAAACTGGATTGGAGTTAATGCTATTAACTGAAGAAGATAAAATTTTTTTAATGTGAAAAACTTCAAGGTAATCCAGTTCACCAACTGGAGTTTTTAGATATTTAAAGAAGTTTTATAGATAACTTTCACAGCATCAAAGTCAAAATTGTGATTAAGTTTCCAACTATGGTTAGCTATTGAAGATTTGTTTATGTCTGTATTTGAATATAAGTTTTGTTCTTCTAGATACAAATTTTAATGCCTCTTTAGTTTAGCCGATGTACCTCAAACTACATAGACAAAATATGTTATAAATTTTCTAAGAATTAAAATCAGAGATGGAATCTTGAAGAATCAAACAAGAATTTTTACTCATAGGTGAGAAATTGTTGAACTTCTATAGAATGTATGCAATTTTGTGACTGCTAGAAGGATGAAATGGAATGATGGCATGAATGAGAAAAAGAATCCATTTTGTGCTTAGAGTAACATGTTTAGCATGGAGAAGCAAACAAGCAAAAAAGATTTATGGTAACAGTTATCCTGAAATGAAATGAATTTTTGATATGATCATCACATGCTACTTCTTTGCAGAATTTTTTTCACTTCTGTAGAAGAAGGATTTGTGACTGCCCTCGATATTGATAGAGTTTTATTTAAAATCTATGCCACGTATTGCATTGTTGCTTAATTTTAAGTTTTACGTTGGCATGTCTTTCTTTCATTTGAATTATTTAAGTGTTTACATTAAATATTTGGGGGGGGGGATTTAGTTCTTCATTGAATGCAATAATATAAATAACACTTCTTCATTAAACGTATTGGTGAAATAATGTATTTGATGATAGATTATCATTCTGTGACATTCAACATAGTGGGTGTTTTTTTTTTTTTTTTTTTTTTTTAAATTTTATTTGAGGACCCTAGTGCATAAATCTTCAACATTTTAAGTTGATGCCACATAGAGTAGGCAGTTAAGTTTTCCGATTCTGGCTACTAAGCATGGCGTCCAGTTTAAAAAGAAAACATTTTTAACCCATATTTTTATAGCATTCTAGCATTGTTATCAGTGTTGCTTCAAGGTGGATTTTATTTGCTATGTGTTGAAATTTTAGTATGTGGTTAGAAAAATTTTAAAAAAGTAGGAACTAGTAGGTTGTATTTTTATTTTAAAGATTATATGTATATGTGAATAATCTATTTACTGTGTTCATATTAATATATTGTATTATATTATGTTGCATTACAACACTCTTTTTATTTGAATTCTATTCTTAGAATTGCTCTGGAATCAAGTAGTTTGGATTACTGGTGCATCAAGTGGCATTGGAGAATATCTTGCTTACAGTTTGATAAAACGTCAAGCTAAATTAGCACTTTCTGGAGTTAATATTGAAAGGTTAAGAAAAGTTAAGAACAAATGCATAGGTAAGTTTGAAACTATTTGCTTACTAATGTGTTTTATGAGCTTTTACTGTGGCTTTTGAGTATTTTATTTGTATAAATTGCATAAACCCACATGTATAATAAAAATAATGTAATAAATCTTTTGACTGTACTTACATATTATCCCATTGGCTATGAAACTGTTGCCACGCAGCATGATGTAGTGCCAATTATGGATAAGCATGATGTACCAACACGCTCATAACAAATATGCCTTCGTTTGATGTAACTCCAGTTGATTCTCGATAAACCATGTTTAGTTTTTATAAAAAAGGATATAAATTAACTGTTATTGCTGTATTTTTCCTTTCATTTTGTAAAAAGTGATTATGATTTTGAACCTGTTTTACAGAACAGCAGGCAGTAGATTATTTTCAAAATTATGGAATTTTACCATTAAAAAAAAGTGTATTAGTGGAAATATATGATGAACTATGACTGACAAAACAATAATAGAAGAAACAATTACCTGTGGGACTTTTGTATTCACAGAGCCATTTTTTACCATTTCCAGCATATTTAGTAGGAAATAGTAGCTTTCAGTTATTTAGTAGAAAATACTAATAATAATTTTTAGTAGAAAATTATATTGTTACTGGAAAAGAATTAGGGATACTTTCTGATTATCTGCATCTCCAACAAGAAATCATGAAGAAGTATTCATGAGGAAAAGCAGTTGCCAAAATATATACATGGTAATCCATGGTATTTGAAAAGGAAAAAAAAAAAAAAGTATTGGCAATCCAGGTGTGCATCTATCTACCCCATGTCTATATTTATGGAGTGCAGTGCTGATGTACAAGGCAGAGTTTATGCTGTTCTTTAATGTTTTCGAAGTGAAAACATATTACTGTGTACTTGGGGAGAACAACAGTGCGAAAAAGAAAGATTTCTTGAAAAATAGCAATATTTTATTACCAATGTTTCTTGCTTTTTTGATTGATTGTTCTTGGTATAAAATTATTTTGTTCTTTGTATAGAATTATTCACCATTTTAGAAATGGCTATTGTCTTTTGCTAGCTGTATCAAAAATAAGTCAGAAACAAATTTGCAAATGCTTTCATACGTCTGCAGTATGTTTATAACATTTCAGAGGTGATGTATACAATCAAAAGGTATCAAGTTATGCGATGGCTTACATTTGCATATTGAAACAAACAAACTCAGGTCATGGTTTAAAACTTATTTCAAAGTGCTAAATATAATGAATTTTCATGATTCTTTCTATTGTGATACTGAAAGTAACAAACTGTCATTGAATGAAAGAGAACAGTTAATGATACTGAAATGATATTGGACTTAAAAAAATTAATTTCTAACAGAAGGATGGTTAATTTCTGGAACTCATTAACATTAAAAAGGAAATATATTGAACTGTACAATTGTACTTTAAAAATTATAATTCAATTTGCTTCTGTGTATCTGTGTGGAAAAGGGTTTTTATTAATAATTCGAATAAAAACAAAGTATCGAAATCAACTTGTATGTGCCAATCTAAAATGTATGTTTACCAGCATACATCCAAGCATAGTACAGCTGTGCAAGATCAGCAGGTTATCCATTTCAATCCAAGTACCAGTAGTTATTTAATTTTAGTTAATAAAGTAAAAATTATAGAAATCTGATAGTCTTGAATTATTGAAAACTGGTGTAAATTTATTCTATCAATGTAATACCAATATAAAATGAATTTTATTTAATTTTATTTTAAAAATTATACTGGTAATAAGCTATACACATGATTTCATAACATTCTATAGTTGCCTTTTTGTAATGGAACTGGAAGTAAATGATAATTCTAATCTGGTAGCGTGATAGTTCCTTATATTTAGTGATAATGATACTTTCTTACAAATTTCACAACACGACTTTCTAAAGCAAGTCTCTTTCTTTCAAATGTCCAAAATCGTTTGACAAAATATGATTAAACATGCCAATGCTAACTGTTTGCTCAGACAATATTTGCGATGACAGGAAACTTTCGTTACAACCTGATATAAATAATAGCACATAAGCAACTTGAAGAAATGATTAGACTTGGAATATAAATAAAAGTTTTGCAAAAAGGTGTATTAGATTTATGTTTTATTATTTTTTATATTCTTCTTATTATTTTCATAAATTTAAACAAGTTTTTCAGTTTGTATCAAAAGTGAATTTTGCTGGACCATGTGATGGTGATGACCTGAGCTATTAACATGCTACCTTTCATTATACTTCATTTAATAGAATCAATATTTAATAGAATTATAGTATCTTTTTGTAGTTGTTCTTTTAATTTTTTCCACCAGTCTAAATTGTGGTGTGAGAAATATCCTTCACTGATTACAATGACAGTGTAAATGTTTATAAAAATTATTCTAAAATATATATTTTGTTTTTAAATTGATTAGTTTGTCACTAATATTCCTGAGGGCTTATTGTACATGCTTTAAGTTGTTTAATTTTTTGTGCTAATACTTACCCTTTGAATCTGCATATAGTACAAAGTATAAAATCTGTAATGATCTGATATCTGGACCACCAGCACTTTTTTAAAAGAAATTTTGGAGTAAAAGGAGAAAGAATTAGATTCTGAGGGTAGCATCTCACTTTAGTATATACTTAATGTAGTAGACATTTTTTGATAATAAAGCACATGGAGATTCTTATTCTTAATATTACTTCAGTATTAAATGAAACACCTCCATGATGAGAAAAACACAATCATTTATTACCACAAATCTGTATAATCAATAATTTGACTCCATGGCTGGCTTTTTGCTCCACATAATTCTTAAACCAAAACACTCTATCTAAGTTCATCCCCAATTTTACAACTGCAGAATGACTTACAACCCTGATACCAACCTGGAAAATCATTTATTTATTTACTTTCATCACCACATGTCTATCAGTTGGTAGCAGTTTGGGAAATGACTTGTGCATCGATGCCTAAAACATTGGGGAAAAAATTTAATATTAGTAATATTAATTGTTTGGTGTAAGAGTACCAAGCAACATGGCAACCTCTTATGTTGACATTACATTTGGTGACAGTTACAGATTTAGCTAACTACATTCTGAAGTATTGAGTGTGTTGATGGGGAGAAATTTAAAAGCATACATGGAAAACAAAGCATATAACTAAAGTAATGTAATAAAGCTTAACTTTCAGCACAAGTTAGAAAGAAAACATATCTTTAGTCACGAATCTCATGTTACATTGCCAATAGTGTACAGTCAAAAGTCATTAATCCGGACTCATCGAGACTTCGGCGATTCCGGATTATAGATCATCAGTTTAAATCTGGAAAAATGGCATGCAGAAATTACAAAATTAAAAATATGAAACCATAATTTATGAAATAAAGAACAATTATGATCTAAAGGGTATCAAAATTTACAAAAAGAAAAAGCTTAATATTTATTTGTTTACTTTATTAAACATTTCTTTCAACACGCGCATAGTCGAAATTAGAAAATTGCAACCAGAAAACTACTTGATGTGTATTCATGATATTTATAATGACGAGGAATTTGATTTAAATCATATCAAAGACGGAGTACATCGAGATGAAATACTACATTTAGTAAGGAATTATAAGCCAAATAAAATAAAAACATCTGCCCTGAAGATAAGGATAGTGCTGACAGATCAACTTCCAGTTCATTGCGCACCGTGACGTTCTCCCCCCCCCTCCCCCGGCCGCAGAGCAGCGTGAAATTGATAAACAGATTTCGGATTTCGAAATATACTTTCGCTTTGTAGATCCTTTACATATTAGTAAATATATATTGGAAATTCTATTTGACATAATCGAAAGTTCAAGCTTACTTTTATAAAATTGCTCTAACAGTCTGCAAAAAATAATAAGCCAGATCCAATTCGAAGATTAAGGAACAACGCAATCTGCATTATTAACTGAATTAGATAATTTTAGCTTAGCTTATACCGTCCGTTATACATTAAACGCGCATGAGTAAACATATTATGCGCATGCGCACACGCATATTTGCAGCCGTATAGGTCTTTCAGCACAAGGGTCTTTCAGCACGCGTAAATGCAACACATGCACAGAAAGTTTGAGGTCCGTATTATGGGTGTCCGAATTAACGACTTATAACAGGTGCTAACTAGGCTTTATAAAGATAGCCAAGAATTTGAAGGTTTTTCAGATAAAAAACAAACTACAATTTTTCAGTTAATGGAATTTGTGAAGAAATGTGGAGAAGTGGTAATGAATGAAAATAATATAAAAGAAATAATCCAATTAGGATGACAATGCCCCAATAATCAAACAGCTTACAAATGGTGAAATCTGTAGTATGATTCTAAATCCAAAAAATATCACTATCGTGACAGAATGAAGAAATCAGAGAGATGTTTTTGAGAACAAAAAAATTTAGAATTGCAATTTAGTGGGAATTGGCATGGCAACTACAAGGACTTGAACAGTGGAACTTTGTAACTGTTTGTTAGCTGTTGACAAGCCATACCTTTTGACACCTTTTCAGCTACTGTAGCAGCAGTGTATTCTTTTCTCTTGAGGTAGTGATATATAATTTATTTCTCCTTTGAGGATTTGGGGGGGGTCACGTAACATGACTCAGTAGAGTTTATTTAGTTAAAACGAATGACCATAGTTTCCAATATATCTGGCAACTGTGACAGCAGGACATTGCTAGTAAACATGGGAAAGATCATGAAATAGAGGAAAGCGGCAAGAAGTTCGTTTACAAGAATATTAATGAAATGTACGAAGACATCAACAAAGATGATCATGAGGATATTATTAAAGTGTAATAAAAATTTCAAATTTTATTATTTAATTTATGGAAGAAATGTGAAGAATTGCAAAACTTGGAGAGTCAAGTAATGGATATGATATTAAAAGCTACCGAAACAAAAGAGCTTCGAAATAGGTCTGTTCAACAGTATTTAACTAATTATTTTAAGATAATTTTAGATTAAAAAAAAAAAAAAGAGAAAAAAAAACTG